TTTAAATTAAGTAAATAATGGCCAATCAATTCTATGATTACAGATGATTTGCCATTCCTAATTAAACGTGGTTATAAAAACTTGGTCAGCAAATACTGTTCAGTAATATGAACAAGAAATTCAGGTGTTCAAATAAGAAGCAGCTTGCTTGAAGAGAAAAGGGGGTCTGCAAATGAAATTATCTATTTCTTATGATTTTTATACTTTCTTCAAAATTAATAAATGGCCCCATTCACAGTCACCTGTTTTGAGTCTTATTTTTATGTGGGCAGCATTGATAAGTTAATCCCAGATGTGCTTGGCCCATGTGCAATTCATTACTTCATTTGTCAAAAATGAGAAACTTACTATTCTTTATATTCATGCTGGCATATAAAGAAATCTTAAGAGCTTTTAAAATGCTAGCTTATGCATTACATTAACATTTTTAGTGTTCAAACTGCAGAACTAAATCTTTTTTTTCCTAACATGTATTTCTGCATTAAAGCATGTGCCTGCGTGTGTGCCCAGTCACTTCAGTTGTGTCCAGCTCTTTGTGACCCTATGAACTATAGCCTGCCAGGATTCTCTGTCCATAGATTCTCCAGGCGAGAATACTGGAGTGAGTTGCCAAGTCCTCCTCCAGGGAATCTTTCCGACCCAGGGATAGAACCTGGGTCTCCTGCATTGCAGGCGGATTCTTTACCACTGAGCTACCAGGAAAGCCCATATTAGGGCATATTTCTACTGAAATTGATTTGGGTTAGATAATAACTATGAAAGCAAAAGATCCACTGCCCCAGTGAAGATGATGTAGCCCCCCAAAAACCTCTTTTGCTAACACAGGCCATGAGTTTGCACTAGAAGCAGAACCCAAGAATCATTTAAAACAGCTGCTTTAGGGTAGAAGTCCCCAACATTTTTGGCACAAGGGATCGGTTTTGTGGAAGATCATTTTTCCATGGACCAGGCAGTAATGTGAGTGATGAGAAGTGTCAGATGAAGCTTCGCTGGCCTGCCACTCACCTCCTGCTAACAGGCTAACAGTACTGGTCCTCAGCCCAGGAGCTGGGGACTCCTGCTCTAAAGCATGGTAAAGTAGACAACTGCCCCTTGGCTTGCCTGATGGATGGCAATGCCTACACCATAGCTGCAAGTGATGCTGAGTTTTCGAGAAATGTGTGACCACCTTAGGTGAGGAGACATCTTGCTAGAGAATGATTTGATATCACTATCAAGGGCAAATATAATTGATTGTTTATAGGAATACACTTTTGAAAAATATATGTTTACTTGTGAATGCAATACAACTCGATTTTTTTAAGCACTTACTGAACTGATTTTATTTCTTTATTACTATTTTTAGTGTTGCTTTTTATTTATTTATTTTTTAAAATTATTTTAATTGGAGGCTAATTATTTTACAATATTGTGGTGGTTTTTGCCATACAGTCACATGAATCAGCCATGGGTGTACATGTGTTCCCCAAGCTGACCCTTCCTTCCACCTCCCTCCCCATCCCATCTCTCAGGGTCATCCCAGTGAACTCTCTTTGAGTGCCCTGTTTCATGCATCAAACTTGGACTGGTCATCTATTTCACATATGGTAATATACATGTTTCAATGCTATTCTCTCAAAACATCCCACCCTCACCTTCTCCCACAGAGTCCAACAGTCTGTTCTTTACATCTGTGTTTTTTGCTGTCTCGCATATAGAGTCATCATTACCATCTTTCTAAAATACATATATATGCATTAATATACTATGTTGGTATTTTTCTTTCTGACTTACTTCGCTCTGTATAATAGGCTCCAGTTTCATCCACCTCATTAGAACTGATTCAAATGCATTCTTTTTAATAGCTGAGTAATATTACACTGTGTATATGTACCACAGCTTTTAATCCATTCATCTGCTGATGGGCATCTAGGTTGCTTCCATGTCCTAGCTATTATAAACAGTGCTGTGATGAACATTGGGGTGCACGTGTCTCTTTCAGATCTGGTTTCCTCGGTGTGTATGCCCAGCAGTGGGATTGCTGGGTCATATGGCAGTTCTATTTCCAGCTTTTTAAGGAATCTCCACACTGTACTCGATAGTGGCTGTACTAGTTTGCATTCCCACCAAAAGTGTAAGAGGGTCCTTTTTCTCTGCACCCACTCCAGCATTTACTGAACTGATTTGAAAAAGAGCTCTCTATTCAAATATAGGGCTTTCCCTGGTGGCTCAGTGGAAAAGAATCCACCTGTCAATGCAGGAGACGATCTCTGGTTTGGGAAGATCCCCTGGAGAAGAAAATGGCAACCCGCTCCAGTATTCTTGCCTGAGATATCTCAGGGAGAGAGGAGCCTGGTGGGCTATAGTCCATAGGGTTACAAAGAGTCAAATATGACTTACAGACTAAAAGAGCAACAACAATTCAAATATATTTCCAACTTTCAAATTGATTAGATAAGAATGCAATTTTATATCAGGGACTTCTAAAATAAGTAAACAAACCCCAAATACCATTTAATCAAAACAATTAAACCCTCTACACATACAGAAATACACACCACTCTTTTGTTTTTCCTTAGTTTATGCCCCAAAATTCAAATTTTATATATTTTTACATATGTATATATATCCATGATATATATATACACATATCTATATATCCACTATCTATCATTATCTGTCTATCTGTGTGTTGTGCTGTGCGCAGATGCTCACTTGTGTTCAACTCTTTGTAATCCCATGGACTGTAGCTTGCCAGGCTCCTTCTGTCGTTGGGATTTTTCTGGGAAGATTACTGGAGTGGGTTGCCATTTCTTTCTCCAGGGCATCTTCCTGACCCAGGGATCAAACCCATATCTCTTACATCTTCTTCATTAGCAGGAGGATTCTTTACCACTAGCACCACCTGGGAAGCCCTCTATCTATCAAACAACAAAAAGTACACGGTTGAATCAAGGTATGTAAGAAATCAAGGAATAAGAGCAACTAAGAAACTATGGAAGATGAGATATCCTGGACAGCTGTACTATGTGTTAAGAAGCACAAGAACATGGGTATGGGATAAGCAAGGAAACACATGTTATGTACTGCAATGTACCACAAGGGAAACATCCCAGGAAGCAAGTATTTTAGGCAGTGTGGCAAGGGTAGGCAGAAAGCGTAGCTACAGGCAAGAGAATGAGCTTGCTGAATGCAGAACATGAAGTTTGAAGGTAAATCCATTTCCCAACAGCAGACCAAAATGTTAGGGCTCTCACACTTAGGATGACTTGGGAGCACCTTATAAATGAAGGTTATAAGAATTCTTGTATAAACCTGTTCATGTGGTCTAAATTTGCATCCTTTCCAGAATCATCTACCAAACATAGAGATTTCCTCAATTTCTTGGCTTTACATTTGCATCTCAGGATTAAAATGGAACCAGGAATGAAGCTGATACCCACAATTCTATACATTATTTATATTATAAAACAAATTTGTACACATGTATAGTACACTATAATGATAATTTTACTGAATTTTATGGATTACTATAGGAACCTAATATCAAGAAAAACTTGAATCATATCAATATTTTGCATTTGGATGAGTGTACTTTTGCCCCTAGATTACAAGTTTCCGCTCAAATTTAATTTAAGGAATGAAATGGACTACTTTACTCCTATAACATTCAGATTAATGGAGTTTTATGGTTACTGCACTGAGATATTTTACTGATTTTATATTTCACTTCTATGCAGGTAAATCAATTTTATATTTAGATAGAAAATAAAGTCACAAATCCATTCTCAGTATGGACACCTGCTTCTGAAGATTACATTTTATGGATACTGTTTGCTTTTCAAATATCAACATGTTAAATAGGTAATAACTATCAAGTGAGTGTAATTTCACGTATCCCTGCAGATAGCCACATTTAGAGAGGGAAAGGAAGTTTAGTTATAACATGAAAAGAAAGCCATCAGGGGAAAATTATTTTTAAAATAATGCAACTATCATGCAAATATCTTAGAAGTAAGCATTAGAATGCTATATTATTTTAAATAATGTCATTTTATGTTAGATTTTATTTTTATAAATAAAATGGGTGTGTGACTCTAAAGGCATAGAGCAAGGAACTGGAGTAATGGTGCAGTTCTGCATCTGACTGTCTTGGTGGAGGTTTGAATCTATATAATAAACTTCATAGAATTTTATGGAACTATTCACTAAAAAATATTATACATAAAGCCTGGTGAAATTTGAATATGATCTGTGGTTTATAGCGGTGCATCAATGTCGTTTCCTGATTTGATCATTGTACCATCGTTAGGTAGAATAGCAGGGAAGCTGAGAGATGGGCCCACAGAAAATCTTTGTATTATTTTTGCAGCTTTTACATGAGTCTAACGTTGTTTCAATAAACAAACAAAGATAAATAATGTGGTTCATCCTTGGGAAATGAGAAGAGAAGAATACAAAGTGGCTTTATAGAAAGAAGCAAACAATGGTTAAGATTTTCATGCGTGCCTGCATGCAAAGTGGCTTCAGTCGTGTCCAACTCTTGGCGACCTATGGGCTGTAGTCCGCCAGGCTCCTCTGTCTGTGGGGTTCTCCAGGCAAGCATGCTTCCCTGGTAGCTCAGAGGGTAAAGCATCTCCCCGCAATGCAGGGGACCCAGGTTCGATCCCTGGGTTGGGAAGATCCCCTGGGGAAGGCAATGGCAACCCCCTCCAGTACTCTTGCCTGGACAATCCCATGGACAAACAAGGCTGGTAGGCTGCAGTCCATGGGGTTGCAAAGAGTCGGACACGACTGAGCGGCTTCACTTTCACTTTTCCAGGCAAGAATACTAGAGTGGGTTGCTGTGTCCTGCTCCAGTGTAATGTTGTCATAAATAATAAAATGTCCCAGATCCAAACGAGTCCTGCCGAGACTGTTAGCAAACACAGCTCATGGCATGGGATGCCGAGACTGTTAGCAAACACAGCTCATGGCGTGGGAAGCTGCTCTGTGTCTGACGTTGTCTCAGAGCCTCCTACCTGTTTTTGCCGTCTGCCAGCCCAGGGAGAAGGGGCTCCGAGCCTGCAGGTTGTAGGAGGAGACGGGGCTGTGGTTGTCAGCTGCTGGGCTCCAGGAGAGCGTGGCTGTGCTCTCCGTGATCTCCTCCACAATCACTACCCCTGGGGGGCCTGGGGGGCCTGTAGGCAAGCGAGAAGGGAAGCAGTTAAGGTCAAGCCATGTTGAGGAGCCATGATAAACTGTGTCTCCAGTAAGGACCCAATCAAACTAGCAAAGCGTTTTGATGAAATACATACTTAGTAATGAACATTGCCAGTAAAAAGTGATGGGATGCAAGTTGATTTCCATGATTTCTGAGGATAATTTAATTATAGATTTTTTTTCATAATACTTTGTGCTTGGATACAACCACCAGTTAACTGTGCATTTTATAGACATGCAAAAAAATAATTAGAAACAAACACAAGGACTTGAATGTCAGTAGCTACTCTGACTGCTGAAATCAATCACAGCTTACAGAGGCAGTGACAGAGAAAGAGGCAATGCTACTAGAAACAGAAATGACCTCATCATTACCACAAAGTTACAGGTGTATGGGCCTAATTTTCAGCCAACCTACAGTGTACAAATAGTGTGATGTACTTACCAAGGAGCTTAAACTCTAACAGGGGAAAAATGAAAGGCTCTGAAATATTGAGAGTTCAGACCAAGGAAGGATATATCCTAGAAGTGAGGCATGGAGAAATGTTGTGAGAAGTTAAAAGAAAGGTGTGATTAGATGATGAAGATGATGATAATGATTTTTTTTTTTTTTTTGGTGAGTGTGAGAAGATGGTTAATCAGAAAATATGATTCCCCTTTTGATCATAAAAAATTGGTATAGTATAGAATTATGTTTATCAATTGACATGCATTAGACTTTAGATTCAAGAAACAACCATGATCTGACATGAGGAGATGTATGCCCCTATGTTACTAGTTCTAAAAATCGTGATTTCTAATAGCATTAAAAATATGTATAGTATTCATATTTTAGTGGCTAAGCACAAATGTCAGGTTTCTTCTTAATGTTTTTCTATTCCCTAATATGAACAATCAAAGCTTTAAGGATCTTTTATTTTCAATTAAAAACATCCCACCTGTAAATATTTTAGGTTATTTTCTGATTTAGTCCTTGTTTAGCAAGTTGCTCTCTGGATTTGGTTATTATGAAGTCTGAGCAGTAAGTGTTGACCTAGACCGGAAAGAGCTAAGAAATGGTGGAGTGCTAAATAGATGGAGGCAGTCAAGTCCTCTGAGGAGAAATGTTCAATAATGAAGGGACAAAGGGATGGACAAAGTGTTTAAAAGGGTCACCATATAAGTGACATTTTTAGGCAATGAGAAATGAGCATTTTTATCAAGAGTGAGAAACAGCAGTGGGTAGTGAAGACCAAAGACTTAGAAGAAAAGGATTATTCCATCAAGAAGGTAACAAATACTGGGATTATGAGCAGACATGTAGAGAATAACCATGAGAAGTGGCAATTTTTTTTTCCCCTCTGGAGAAATTAAGGAAGAAACTGAGTATAGAGAGAAAGCTTCTGAAATGTCAAGAAGCTGGGAGAGTTCATTCGGGAAGTTTCTCCTTTTTTCACTAAAGAAGGAAGAAAAAAAAAACACAAAGTGAAGGTGGTTGGGTGAGAGTGGGACTGGGAGCTAGAAGACACTGGGAAATGTCTGGATAAGGCCCATGATAACATGAGGAAAGAAAGGAAGAGTGAACTATTTGGAATATTTTGGAATTCAAGTTTGCCTCAATATCACCATTGTGAAGTAGAACTGACCAACTCAGCAAGCTCAGGCTAGAAAGCCAGGATCAGGGCCAGAGAAAGTGGTTAACTGGGTCAATTCAGGCTTAGTTTATAAATTTGATATGACTTATCATCAAAGATGCCAATGGTATGAATGGCCATGGCCTCAAGGAGGACTAGGGCATCCAGGGAAGCCAGATTGGTGCTGGCAGACAAGAATAAAATAATGAAATCCAGAAACCAGGTTACTAGGAGGGAAAGATAGAAAGATAAAAATTATATAATTTGAGATTTCAATGTAGGGAACTTTTGATGGAAGTTTGCATTTATCTGGAATTAAGTGGGAAATACAATTATTAGGTCAAGTACTTAGGGAAGAATCCTTTCACTTGATGTACAACCAATTTTCAGAGTATTAAAATGGTAGATAAAGATGAGGTATGGAAAATAAATAATATCCAGTTGCTGAAGATGTCTAACAAGTTGCTAGACTATATGACAGGGACATGGAGGTGTGACTATAATGATAATAATATAATAATGATAGAATATTAACTGTAATAATAATACCAGTAGCTACCATATCCTCACTATTGAGTGTTTTGCAAACATTAGCTTGTTCACTTATTTCTATGTTACTGTGAAGTGGGTACTATAACTCCTATTTCATAGAGGATGTAACAGACTTTTAAAGGTCATTTGGTTGACTAAGAATAAATAAGTTACTTAGTCAGTAACCTCACTGTATGTTAGGTATTGCATGAGGCAGTAGGTGTCAGAGAATCCCTTCTAGTGAGAAGTTACTCAAATCACCACTAGTGCATGGCACAGCAGAGATTTGAATTCAGATTTGATTCTAAAGCCTGATTTGTTCAAGAAAGCAAGGGTTATGGAGATCCTTCTTCCTTTCACTGTTAACTGAAGAAACTGTTTAGGATTTTGTGGCAGCCTGGGTATATGATGGCCACCAACAGCTTTCTTTCCTCTTGCACATGCAGGTCATTCCCTTATTGAAAGATGAAGCCTGTTCCTTAAACTTCCTTGAATCTGGGTTAGCCTGTGATTATAGGCATACTCTGGTGATACTGTGGATTTTTTTCTCGTGTGCATGCTTAAATCACTTCAGTCGTGTCCGACTCTTCGTGACCCTAAGGACTGTAGCCCTCCAGGCTCCTCTGTCCATGGCATTCTCCAGGCAACAATACTGGTGTGGGTTGCCATGCCCTCCTCCAGGGGATCTTCCTGACCCAGGGGCTGAACCCTCATCTCTTAAGTCTCCTTTATTGGCAGATGGTTTCTTTACCACTAGCACCACCTGGGAAGTCACCATAATACAGCTAATATGGCAATAAAGTAAGTCATGCAACTTTTTGATTTTCAAGTCCATTAAAAAAAAAAAAACTTGTTTACATTATACAATAGTCTATCAAGTATGCAATAACATTTTGTCTAAAAAAGCAATGTATATACTTTATTAAACATATTTTATTGCTAAAAACTGCTAACCATCATCTGACCATTCAATAAGTTGTAATCTTTTGTTTGGTGGAAAGTCTTGCCTCAATATTGATGGCTGCCAACTGATCAAAGTGGTGGTTTCTAAAAGTTGGGGTGACTGTGGCAATTTCTTAAAATAAGACAACATGTCTATTTACTTTTCCTTTCATGAATGAATTCTCTGTAGCACAATGATGCTAAATAGTATTTTACCCATAGTAGAATTTCTTTCAAAACTGGAGTCAGTTCTCTCAAAACTTGTCATTGACTTATTAAGTTTATATAATATTCTCACTCCTTTGTTGCTATTTCAATGATTTTCACAGCATCTTTTCCAAGAGTAGATTCCATCTCAAGGAATTATTTTCTTAGCACTTGCATAAGAAGCAACTGTTCATTTGTCTTGTGAGAATGCAGGAATTTGACTAACAGCTACAACCTATACTTCTAATTTTAATATCTTGCTATTTCTACTATATCTTCAACCACTGAAGTCTTAAGTCCCTCTGTCATTCCTAAATGTTGGAATCAACTTCTTCCAAATACCTGTTAATGTTGATTTTTTTACTTCTTCCCATGAATCACAAATGGCATTAGGATGATGAATCCTTTCCTGAAGATTTTCAGTTTATTTTGCCTATCAATGAAATCACTATCTATGGTAGCTGTAGCCTTATGAAATGTATTTCTGAAATAAAAAGACTTGAAATTCAAAATTACTCCTTAATCCATCGGCTGCAGAATGAATATTGTGTTAGCAGGCATTAAAACAGCATAAATCTCATTCTACATCTCCATCAGAGCTCTTGGGTCATCAGATGCATTGTCGTAGAGTAGTGATATCTTGAAAAGAATTTTTATTTTTTTCTGAGCAGCAAGACACAACAGTGGGCCTAGCGTATATAGTATACAATGCTGTAGACAGATATGCTGTATTTCATGTTTTGTTGTTCCATTTATAGAGCACAGGCAGAATATATTCAGCCTAGTTCCTAAGGGTCCTAGGCTTTTCAAAATGGTAAATGAGCATTGGCTTCAACTTGCATTAGCCTCTAACAAGAGAGTCAATTTGTCTGTTGAAATTTGAAGTCATGCATTGACTTTTCCTCTCTAGTTATGAAAATGCTAGATGGCATTATCTTCCAACAGAAGGCTATTTTTACTACAATGAAAATCAGTTGTCTATTGGAGCCATTTGATTAATCATCTTGCCTAGATCTTCTGGATAACTGGTTGCAGCTTCTGCATCAGCACTTATGTTTCACCTTGAACTTCTATGCTGTGAAGATGGCTCATTTCTTTAAACCTCCAGAACCAGCCTCTGCTGTCTCAAGTTTTTCTTCTTCAGCTTTCTTCAGCCTTCATAAAATTAAAGGGAGGTGAGGCTTTACTCTGGATGGGCTTTAGCTGAAGGTAATGTTGTGGCTGGCTTGATCTTCCATCCAGACCCCAAACTTTCTTATCAGCAATAAGCCTGCCTCCTTTTCTTGTCATCTTTGTATTCACTAGAACAGCACTTTTAATTTCCTTCAAGCCTTTTTCCTTTGCTAACTTGGCTAACTGGTGCAAAAGACATAGCTTTCAACTTATCTCAACTTTTGACATGCCTTCCTCTCTAAGCTTAATTTTTTCTGGCTTTTGATTTAAAGTGAGAGAGATACAACCATTTCTTCACTTGAACACTTTACAGGTATTATAGAGTTATTAATTGGCTCAATATCAAAATTATTGTGCCTCAGTGAATAGCAAGCCCAAGGAGAGAGAGATATAGGGAAACAGAAGGTCAGTGGAATAATCAGAGTGCAAACAACATTTGTTAATTAAACTTGCCTTCCTATATGGGTGTGGCTTATGGTGCCCCCAAACAATTGAAATTGTAGCATTGAAGA